GCCATGGAGAAAGTTTGAGGTAGTGAGATTTTGAGAAAGTGAATAAAAATGGAGAGGTTTTGAGCTCAAGATCTGCACCTCACTTATATATTATAAATTGGTATTATCTCTAGTCGATGTGGGACTTCCAACACTGTGATTGCGAAACTGGTTCCATGTCTGTAGATGTTAACGAAAAGCAAAAACTCTTTGTTCACTGAGGCAATTCTAAAGAATTTTTAATTGTCTTTGACTTGAATGGATTCATCCGGGTCACAGTTGAGTGTTTGAGGACTGAGATAAATCCATTCTTCAAATAAATCGCACTTTATCTAAGGAACTAATTGAAATGAAGATTACTCTAGCTGTTTAGCGCGAATCATGGAAAAATATGTGCAGTTTCACTGCAGAACAGAAAGTTAAGACAGGTGCTTTTCAAATGTTGCAAAGAAAGTGGGATTGATTTTGTCTCGTATAGACAATAAGTTTATCACCCACAACGACTTCCACAGCTCGGTTCTGTTGGTACCGTAACAGAACAACAAACTAACAAATGGACGAGGACAACGATCAAACATTTTAGCGAAACAAAAGGACGTTGATATATATCATACATTTTAGCCTCAAAAGTAGATGAAAAGATAAATCACAAAACTCAATCAGAGTCATCATATATGTTAATATTCTACATAGTGTTTGCTCTTCCATTTTTACTCCTAAATGTAATGAGGTTGTCTTGCCTTGTCTACAATATGCATAGCTAATTTTAAGTGCAAGTTTATAACTTTCAGTGATGAAGGAACAACGAATTACCAAAAACCGCCCCAATAAAAGGTGTAAGATGAGCTGCTCAATTTCCTCTCGCTTCAATTCAGAACCTGGACAATTAATATCACAGGATATAAGATTCATTTTTGTGATAAATTACATTAGAGAAACTAATTAAGATTGGTACATGATAAATATTGCAATTTTCATGAATTATGTAAAGGAAAGGAGGAGAGTTATCTTTATTTTCAATGAAGTTTAGGAGAGCAGTTAACACACATCCATCCAGCAGCTTGGGTGTTGTGTTCTTATTTATTTATTTATTTATCTTGTCTCTACACACAACGGTTTGGTTGACTTTTGAGCCATGGGTTACTCCTCCAACCTTACTGTTAAACCATGTTAAGTGGCAAGACAAGACCAGAGGGAAGGACTGATTAGGCCCAAAGGTCTTAGTACTTCATAGCAAATAATCTAGCCAGACAAATATAAAGTATAAAAAGAGTAGAGAACAAACCAACCTAGTTCCTTCTGTTTTATTTTCATTTTATCAACTAATTGCAACATTGTTGACCTCTGATCATTTGCTTGCATATTTTGCATGAATGAAACCATCAGTTTTGCAAGATCTGTAAAGTATACCCATGTGTTGTGTAAATAAAATGGGAGGATGAGAGTAGGAAAAAGTTGAGATAGCAAAAGGAAGAAAAAAAAAAACAAAGGAAATCAATCAGTTTGATACAAAATATATGGTAAATGAAGTGTAGAAGGTAAAACTTGAACTAAAAGTCAGAGCAACGAACCAGAGACATCCACTTCTTTCACCTCTCTTGATAATGCACAGATGTCACACAGCCCTGTAACATCGAGTATATAAATAAAGCATGCAACATCAGGACAGAGAACAAAAGAAAAGTAAGTGACAAGAATGAAAGATACCATTGCACTCTTGAAGTGGCTCAGCAAAATGCCGGAAAAAGGCACTTCGTCGACATTGTCTTTTGGACTGCATTAAAGGGAATGAAAATTACAATTAGTGTTGCAAGTAAAGAGTTTTGGTGGATAAGGATGAAAAAAGAGGAAAACATTACCTTAAATAACATTCTTATGTATTGTGACACTATACAAAATAAAAACCAAATAGTTCTATTTATACTAAATAACTCCGAATCCTGATTAATTAAAGAAACTCATAACTTCCCGAAGATAAAATCCCCAAGGCTCTTAAAGAAAACCCTAAAAATAGATAACACAATTACACACTACTTTATTTGTAGATATTCTTTGAATTTAACTTTTAATAATTCAATGACTTAATGGTCATAATCATTTTCCATAATCAGACAAATGAAAAGGAGAAAGAAAGGCACTCAATCCAGCATACAGAAAGGACTAAAGCTGCACGTATATATCCACACTTTAACAACTTTGTTTCCTATATTCACACTTCAACAGATTGGCTAGGGAACCCCACCTAAACAATCAAGAAACCCCCCCTAAACAAGAAGAGGAAGGAGAAAGAAATCAATATTCTAACTTTAAAACTTCAAACAACTGAGAAGAGATCAACTACTTAATAAAACTGGATATTACAGAAGAAATTACCTGACAATATCGTACTATGTCATAGAGATTCTGCAGCCCCGTATTTTCATAGAAGACCATTGAACTCTGACAAAAATTGGTATGATATTTGCTCACATAATCCAGCAATTTATATGCAACATTTAGATTACTTCCAAACTTGAAATAGATTGATTACATGTTTATCTCATACTATATTACATGTTTTAGCTCAAAATCCAGCATGCTCTAGTTTTTTCAGAAAAAGATAAACGGACAGAAATATGCACAAATTTATAATCAAGTGTGGCAGAGTTTCACCTGCCGTGGAACATCACCAGGCCTAAAGTACAGTAGGCATTCTGAAGGAAGTCCATCTCGGCCAGCTCGTCCACTTTCCTGTAAAAGAAAAGTTACATGAAAACCATCTCTGGGCGTTCTTTAACCAGTCTACTTAAGCATTTAGGATCAATAGTAATTTGTATTAAAGCCTCTTTGCAACCCCAATTCATCTTCAATAAATTGGTGTATAGAAAAAGGCTTTGGAAGCTGTTAAGAAGTAGACTTTAAGCTTAACTCAACCACACAAAACTGGCTTGTAAGGTGAGGTTTGCACCCACTTATATATTATAAATTGGCCTTATCTCTAGTCGATGTGAGACTTCCAACACACCCCCACACGCCGAGGTATAGACATCATCTCGAGCGTGAGACTAGACATTAATAGGTGGTCCGATAACAATCCAATAGCAGGTGGAACAACATGCCCAACAAATAACAAATATCGCTAAGATAGGCTTTAACCATAGCTCTGATACAGATGCTACGAGACAGAAACTAGAGCGAGATCGACCCGCTGTGATACTAACTTGAGAATGAAACTGTAAAATAATTCTAGAGGGCATTCAAAACTTGTCACTCCTTTTGGAAGAAAGCTCAAAGCATCTATGCCAACCAAAAGATGCAGTTAATACAGCCAAAACTACACCCGTAACCCAAGTTAATTCGCGAGGTTTTTTAAAACCACCTGTAAGATACACACGAAATACGTGTAGAATCATCATTAAGATCATCATACTTGCCGACCATCGATGAACTGATCGGATTAACCAACCAAAATTATATATTCAAAATCTCTATGACACTGCAAACAAGCTTGCATCTCTTAAAATGGTAGACCATGATATGGTGTCCTTCATGGCTGAAACCCCATCTGCTGTCGAAGAACTCAGGATGTTTTTGGAAGCGGACCCATTAGAGGATATTAAAAAGAAACTAGACAAATTTTATATGATATTGGTCCTTCGTGCCTTACATCCCGATTTTGATCATCTCAGAGATCAACTTTTGACCAATCATGAGGTCCCCTCCATGGAAACATTGACCACTCGCCTTCTGCGTGTCCTGGTATCTCAAACTCAGGAAGCGCATGAACTAGTGGAACCATCTGTCATGGTTGCCACACGAGGAAGGGAGGACGTGGCACTAAAGGAGGAGGACGAGGAGGTCGGAGACATCCTCAATGCACATACTGTAAAAGGATGGGTCACATTCAAGAGAATTGCTACTCCTTACATGGTTTGCCTTCCAAAACCGCCAATATTTCGAAGACTGAAACTTCCACTTTGAAGACTAAAACTTCCACTTCTAAGTTCACCGAGGATGAATATCAAGAGTATCTAAGGTTAAAGTCTAACAGCTTAGCACAACCATCTTAATCTCCCAGTACATCAACAGCCTACATTTCTCAATCAATGGAAGGTCAAAATTCATGGGTAATTGACTCAGGTGCTTCTGATCACATTTCTGGTAATACATCTTTGTTCTCATCTATTTCCTTTGAGAAAACCTCATTTCATAAATCTTGCAAATGAATCTAAAACTTCCTCCAAAGTGTCGGTCATGTTTCCTTGTCTCCCTCCCTCGATCTCAATTTTGTCCTTTTTGTCCCTAATTATCCTTTAAATTTAATTTCCCTAAGCCAGTTGACCAAAATGTTAAATTGTTCAATAACCTTTGATCACAAATCTTTTGTTATACATGAGTGTGGTTCGGAGAGACAGATTGGAGAAAGATATGAAGTTGGCGGATTATACCATTTTGGATCTCATCCAAGGGTGTCTTGTGTTGCTGCTCCTAATACTAAAGTGATACATGATCGACTTGGTCATCCTCATTTGTCAAAATTAAAAAAGATGTGTCCTGAACTTAGTAGTCTCCAAACCTTAGAATGTGAGTCATGTCAATTAGGAAAACATGTTAGATCTTCCTTTCCTAAAAGGTCTCAATCAATATGTAATTCTAGTTTTTCCATCATCCATTCTGATATATGAAGACCTAATCGTATCTCCTCTTTTGGTTTTAGATATTTTGTACTTTCATCAATGAATATTCAAGATGAACTTGGGTTTATCTTATGAAAAATCGTTCTGAATTGTTAGCTATCTTTAGCTTCTTTTTTAATGAAATCAAGAATCAATTTGGTCAAGTAATTAAAATGTTAAGAAGTGGACTTTATACCATGTTAAAAAGTAGATTTTAAGCCTAACTCAATCCCACAAAATCGGCTTGTAAGGTGAGGTTTGTACCTACCTATATATTATAAATCGGTCTTATCTCTAGTCGATGTGAGACTTCTAACAGAAGCACAGGCGTTATCGATGCTTCAAGCCCAAAAAACTTTTGCATGCAACATTATGTTTAGATAAAAACCATTCCTAGGTCTTCACCCAACAAATTAAGCTTCTAGAGAAAATAGAAAGGTTATCTAACAGAAGAAAAACTTATTAGGATTAGGGCAAAACCTGGTAGTATGTTTCCATTGATTTACTCAAGCTATGATGGATGACAAACCTGACTACATGAAAATGTCTAGCGTTAAATGTTATCAGCTCAATGAAGGTAAAGCAAATACAATGTGCACATCCACTGGGGATGTCACTAGTAAAAATACTCATAAGCAAGCTTCTCAGTGCTGCAAACTCCGTTATCCACCAATGCAAGCATCGGTTTGAAACAATTAAATGATGGAAAGAATCTTGATAAAGATATCTCTAAGACTCCAGCAGAATTCTGATCCAAAGAGGCATTAATTACAAATCATCACATCAATAATGCCCCTCAGAAAAAAAAAAAAACATTGATTTTGACTGTCATAAAAAGAACCCTTGTCAACAATACGTCCAGTGCAAATAAATGAAATGCAAATGCACATAACAATGAAGAAAAAAACAACTAAGCCAGTATTAGTGTCCAAATCTGCATTAAAAGCTTCGAAAATATTACAGTAGTATGACACTGAATCTGAGTCTATCCTATTTTAATAGTGAACATGAGAAAATAAACTGCATTATGTTTTCATACAGGAAACAATTGCAGTTGCAAAAAATGTTATTGATGGCATAAACACATCAATTATACAGCTGAGAAATGTTTTGCATACTAACCATCTGGTTTATTGATTCCCATACCAAAAGCTACCTGAAATGAATAAAAAATTCCAATGTAGTAAAGGCTAGAGGCAAAAAAAGCATGTGTCAACCTCTCATAGAAATAGTCTTCATGATACATACTGTGCCAACTATGACCTGCAGCTTGTTATTGCTCCACCTGTGTGATAAAAGTCTTCATTAACTAACTCATTTGCTAGTGCCATCATCATATCATTTAAAGACTATTATATATTCACATATACGAATGATGTGCAAAAACCAGGGGCGGTCTCAAAATTTATTAGATATAATAAATAGAAGAGCCATATGTTGTCTCTGAAACTCTTTCGTACTACTTAACAGGGCCAAAGACTGACAATTGAAAACCTACACTCAAATTCAGCCTACACTCAAATTCAGCCAAGGTCGTCTAAAACAAGTATTCATAAATTAGTGTACAAGACAGTGCTAACAAGTCACAGACGATACTGAAATTGAGCCAACTGTATTCATTTAGTTCCTAAAACACTGGCATCTAAGATTTTAACATTCAGTGACATATTCAACACTAACACTTAAAAGAAAAGGAGTTATCTTTGGAGAAAATTATAATTAATATGTAAAAATTACAACATTCAGATGATTACTTTACCGCATGTGAACTTTTTCCCGAGCATTTACATCCATATCTGCATGATAATAATCAGCTGAAATTCTTCTCTCCCTCAACTCCTTCGCAACCTAAAATAGTCTTGACAACAAAAGGGGTGAGTATATATTCTTCCTCACAAGGTGCGTATGACAAAGGGCACAAATATATTGACATTTGAAGAAAATAGAGTAGATGCTATATCAGAATTCTAGATCATGCTGGAGGTATTTTTGCATTAGAAGCAGAAGATAGGATGCAATGAAACAATTTTTTGGACACATTCTCCCAATTAAATGAAAGGCACACAGTTAGCAAGGGTAAGTTCCCAATTAGTTCTTGGTATTTCCATCTTGTGCTATAATTCCTTACATTTTTCATTTACTGGGGGGACTACTATACACCCTCAAAATAATTACAATTATCATAACAATTTCTGTAACTGATCCATAAAGATGCACATAAAATCCTCAACAGTTTGTGAACAAATTCTTTCAAAACCAGAATGTCCAAATAATTTGTTCAATACCTATAAGGAAAGCAGGAGAATCTTGGAATGACCATTAATAATTACACTAAATTGAAAAGCCATTTTTAATAACAAAAATTATATATTGATAATAAATATTGTCTGCCAATACAAATAATATTTTAGAATTTTATTATTGTGTATATATATTCAATAATTGCAAGACCTATAACACAAATTAGAATTGAAAATATGAAAAACAAAATCATAATGGAAAAATAATAATAATATGATACTAAAATAATAAAAAAAAAGAGGAAATAAAATTAAAATAAACTATAAAATTAAGTCATGATAACTAAATATATTTACAAAACCTCGGAAAAAAATTAAAAAAAAAATTACAGAAAAAATGAAAAATGGTTAAAGATATATAGTCTCTATGTGTAGATAATTCTCACTTAGGTGACCTATGGTAAAAGCTTATTAATGCAGTCTCTATGTATAAACATTATAGATTTGTGAGAATACTTGTATTCTAGTATTCTATTATAAAAGAACGTTTTGATGTGGTCAAGTGAACGGTTCCTTGTATATCCTTATGGAAGGAAATTTCTGTAATTCTCAAACAATTTAGTACATGTGTTGTTTGATGTTTATCACCAAAATTCTAAGATTAATTATGCTGACGTTACAAAAATGCCAGGTACAACCCCAGAAAGAAGCTGAAAAGTGAAAACACGATGCCAACCCAAAGCAAATTTAAGGGTTAAGAGATACTATAAAATCGTGTGCACTGTGCTTCCTTGAGGGCAATATTTGACATTCAAAATATGTATGCCTAATTGTTGAAGATAGCCGCAATCAAGCATACCTGTTCACATTCCTTCCTAGAGAAGCAATAAACAATCCCTGATTCATTATTCGGATAAGATTCTTGAATGAACTGTGCAATTTCATCAATGACTACCTTCCCAACTGATGACTTTTCCTTTACCTGCCGTTTAAAATATGAAAGTCCATTAGACTTTACATTAAAGTGAAGAGTTTTGTTAACTTGGGAAACGGGGAATAGGGCACTCTATAGAAAGTTAAAAAATCTGTAAACAGATATTAGCTACAAATATACCATATAAAACAAATTTGGCCTATTGACTGTGCTGACAAATTTGACACATCTAGGAATATGCAACATCTCTGTCAGATCGTTTTGGACCCTCTGAGTAGCAGTTGCCTGACAAATAAAATGCCATTGATATAAACCAAAATTAAGTATGAAGCAAAACCAAGTCTAATAATTTCACTTGTAATACATAACACAAATTTAGGATAAATAAAAACTTACAGTCAAAGCCACCATAGGAACATTAGGAAACTGTGTCTTGAGAATACCGAGGCTCTTGTAGTCAGGTCGAAAGTCGTGGCCCCACTGACTACAGCAATGTGCTTCCTGCAATGCAAACCAACCCGAAATTTTATTGGCTTACAACCAATGCAGCATTGTTATATCTCAGTCATGAAAAGTTTTATCAGGGCCTTCTAAACCTCAAAACAAATACAAAAGATAAGTGACTAACAATCAAAATCCCAGATAACTGTCTTGGTCGTTGCCCAGTTGCATTTAGTCAAAAGAGGCTAATAACCAGCAAATGAAGCAATACACACACACACACACATAAGTCAAAAACCACATAAATTCATAAACAAGATGAATTTGACAAACATAATTCAAAACAAAACAAGCCTATATAGCATCTCAATATGAACTCACATCAATTGAAATTAGAGAGAGACGACCGGCATGATGACATTTTTCAAGTTTTGACATAAACCTCTTGCTTTTTGATATCTTTTCTGGGGTGACGTACAATACTTTGAGGTCCCCCTCTCCCTTCTCCAAAGCCTTGTATATGAACTTCTCATCTCCCTTATTTGTTGAAGTCAACATATACGCAGGAATGCCCAGTGCAGTCAAACCCATTACCTGAAGCAATCGCCCCACCCAGGGGAATAAAAGAGGAAGAAAACAACCTTTTAAATTTTAAAAAAATAATTAAAAATCATTGACCAAAATTCGTTCAGGATTTTAACATAATGAAATGCACCTGATCTTGAATTAAGGAAAGCAAAGGACTGACAACTAGAGCAATTCCTTCACGAAGAACAGCAGGAAGCTGGTAGCAGAGACTCTTGCCACCACCTGCAGCCATAATAACCAGAACGTCTCTTCCACTCATAATGGCGTTAATTATCTGTCATCGACACTACTACCGGTTAACAAAAATTTACCCAAACGACATAATCCTTTTGTATATATACAAAAGAAAAATATCCACAACTAATACTTTGATTGTTTGATTGTCAATATGATAGCACGGGAAAACAAAAGGAACACACTGCCCAACTTATAGAAAGCAAATAGTGTCTAAAAATTGAGAGCAACATTAATCAGAGCACTTTAAAATAAGAGTGAAACACATTTAAAGAGGAAAGGTGTTTAAGAGCTAAACTCACAATAACTTTCTTAATCGAATAACAGAGCATTACACTGTACATCGAGTGTATAGGGACATTGCTTAAAAAAATAGAGGGTTGTGTGCAATCTCAAGAAACCACGGGAATGTGAGTGTACTATACAATAAAGGAAATGGAGAATGTACGATCTCGATACTCAACTTCAGTTCAGTTCAGAACAAAACAGTGAGAAGGTGTCTTCAAAGGAACCAGAATAGGACATTTGTTTTTTTACCCCTTTCAATTATTTTTTAAAAATGTTTCATTCTTAGTTACCTCTCTTTGATTTGCACGGTAAGATGAAATGCCAAAAACATTCAACCTAACATCATCTGCTTCAGAATCCCATTCAAATGTCCCACTCCAATCTTCCACGGCGCTTGAAGCCACATTACTGGCCTCGTTTCCAGATTCCTTACACGCCTCTAAAATAGCACTCAGCTCCGATTTTCTCTCGTACAGATTCTCTTGTCTCTCAATTAACGCCCTTATTTGTTCTGCAAAGAGAAATCATACTATTTTTAAATTAAAAACGATACCAAATTCGCCTGCACCATTTGGTGAACATGATCATCAGGAAGAAGCGAAACCGTTCTGTTTGCATTATCGTGACAAGTATAGCGACAAATTTAGGCGAGTAGTTCGTGGCATTAACATTGTGATATTGAAAGGATTGGGGAAGAAGCACCTTGAACATCTTGAATCTCGACCTCGATGTTGAGAAGCTCCTCTAGAATCTCGTTGCTCTCCATCACGGAACAGTTTCAAGTGAGAGAGCAACGCAAGACAACCCTAAAAGCGACGGTCTACACCAACTGCCTCGTTTGAACTGTGATGGTTCCGTTACTTTGCAGTGCAAAATTCGCCTACGCAAGTATGTGCTGCAACGCAACTCTCAAGATTATTTTTTTTAATGAGACAAAGTATGTTTTCAGATATATTTACTTTTTGGTTTAATTATTCATATGGTCCCGAGTCGATAATGGATTTGAATTTGAGAAAATTTAAAGATGTCGTTTATTTGAGTGAATTTTGAAGTAAACTAGAGTGAATTTGGAATATTTGAGTGAATTTGGAGGTAAACGAGAATGAATTTGGAAATAATTTTTTTAATTTGTTACCTATATTAATTCTCACAAATTTTATTTCTAAATTTACTCTCATTTATCTTCAAATTCACTCAAATAAACGACAAAAAAATTTCAAATCCTCTCAAATCCACTCAAAAGAACAGACCTTAGTTTGTTTTTTCCTTCCAAAATTTTTGTGTCAGTGTAATGTTCAATTATGAAAAGGTTTAATCCTTTACTACATCCCTATTTATGTACGAATGTCTCAATTGGGTCCTCGTTTTTTAAAGTGTATCAAAATGGTCCTTAATTTTGAAAATTCATATCAATTGAGTCCTTTCCGTTAAGTTGGCTGGACGGCGTTAAAAAAATTGATGAGTGGGATGCTGAGATGACGAACGAACGTTCGTCCACCACCGAACGAACGCTCGTCCACCACCGAACGAACGCTCGTCCACCAGCGAACGAACGCTCGGCGACCACCGAACGAACGGTCGTCCAGTGTGGAACGAACGGTCGTCCAGCGGTAAGAGGTCGACGAGCGTTCGTTCAGTGGTGGACGAGCGTTCGTTCACTGGTGGACGAGCGTTCGTTCGTCATCTTAGCATCCCACTCATCAATTTTTTTAACGTCGTCCAGCCAACTTAACGGAAAGGACTCAATTGATATGAATTTTCAAAATTAAGGACCATTTTGATACACTTTAAAAAAACGAGGACCCAATTGAGACATTCGTACATAAATAGGGATGTAGTAAAGGATTAAACCTTATGAAAAAACAGAGTTAAATTCAGTATCATGCATAAATTTATTACTTTTAAAACTTTTTTATATTTTTTAAAAAATTCACAATTCATTTTAAAATTATATAATATTTTCATATTTTAAATTTCGTTTTTACATTTATTTTTTTATTCAATTTAGTCTTGTTTTTTATTAAAATGAAATAATGTTGCTTTTTTTAATTAGAGCAAAAATTATATTTTTTTTATAAATCTTATGTTGAAATTTTTATTAAATATTTTTGAAAATATTTTTAAACTGGTTTTACCTAATTAAAACTAAAAAAGATTCTTTTTGTTTTAAAATAATGAGACAAAATGTTTTAATGTTAAAATGATTTAATAATATAAATATAATTTCTTAAACTCTTCTTATTACTTAAAACACAAATTATATCTCTAAAACTTTTCCTCTAAGTTTTATGTCTCTCCCCTCTAAGATATCTTACTCTTCGATCATTTGTTTGACCATCAAGAAGTTTCTAGAATATCACGACAAAGTAATCTCCATTATCTACCAATCAGATTTTGGTTTAGAGCACATAAATTTCTACCATTTTTTCTTAAATCATCTGTTTGTGATATGCTTAAGAAACTCTTTTGGCATGTATCATTTATGTTTATCTCTTGATTTATTGTCTATTTGTGGTCATAAGGACTCTTTTCTATCACAATTTGGTGATTTATAGGTGTTTCTACAGCTCCTTGTACGGGAAGCAGAGTAGTGTGTTCTTAGAGCTCCATAACTTTGGTGTAAGGTAAGGGAAGTTGGTTTGATTAAAGTTTGCTTGGTAGACCAGTTATAATCCATGATTGTATAATGATTATGCGTTTGAATTGTAATATTCAACTGAGTTGTGAATTCTAGTATGTTAAGTTGCTTGAAATGTTTATGAAATGATGTGAAAATGTATGCAAGCTTATGTGTGATTGTTAGGCCAAAGTTAAAAGTTGTTTTGGTGAGTTATGATGGTAATTTTGGTTGTATTATAAGTTGTTAAATTGTTATGAATCATTGAATAGTATTAAGTAGAAGAAATAATGAAGTTTTAGTCTAAAATGGAGGTTTAAGAGGTAATTTATTGAAATCGTGGTCTAAAGTGAGGTTTTATGGTTTATGATAGTTTATTAAGTCTTTAATAACTTGTTTAAGAAGATATTCAACTCATAAGTGGTGTAGAATGGAATTGTAGTCATTGTATTGTTTTTACTATGTTGTTTCAAAGGTATTTTACAGGTTTTGATAGATGAAAATCTAAAGGAAGCAAGTCTGATGTAAAACATAACTCTTAGGTCTGTCTTTAGGTTATTCAAAACTTATTTGAACCTTGAGAAAGGTAGAAAATCTTAGATAAGATCCTTTAATAGTTGATAGGTTGAATTTGACTATATTTGGACTAGTTTTAGGAGTTTTGACAAGTGAGATTCTAAATTAGAATGTTTGGACTAAATTTGAGGGGTTGAAGTCTATTATAGAGTTCATTAGGACTTGTTCATGTTGTTAGTTTGCAGAAACTAATGTTAGAAGGAGTTGAAATGAGTTTGGGAAGTCTATAATGGTTAAGTTGGTTTTTGGTGGTCAATTTGAGTTAGAGGTGTGTTTTATGAGGTTTCTCAATGTCTGAAGGGTCCTAAGAATTAATTGAAGTTGTGTGAGAAGTACCTAGAGTCAGGTTAGAAGTGTAACAATTTCTGTCATGGCGCCTGAGCACTAGCTCATCGGAATTTTGGTGTTGAGTGCCACTTCTTGGGTGCTTAAGCGCCATGTCACTATTTTTGGGCGCTGAGCGCTAGCTTTAGGACACCTAAGTGCCATTCTGTAGGTTTTCATATATGTGTTTTATGTGATTTTTGATGAGTATGTTGGGTTGTTCCTGGTTCTTTGATGGAAGTGCAGTGGTTTCATGAGTTAGTATGTAATGTAAATGTGAAGTTATATCTATGGTTTTAAAAGTTGTGGAAATGAGTTCTAAGGAAAAGCTTCTTGGTGATGGTTTCAAGTACTGTTAGTATGAATGTAGGGAGTTCAATCTTGGGGGGTATCTTGACACTTTGATGGTCATTCATTCTCAAGTAGAGAGGATTGACACGTGTGGTGAAAGTAACAGAAGGTGCTTCAGTAAGGCCTAAGATGTGGTACATACTAACCTTGTGAGTGTGATGGGGTGAAACACATTGGTAATGACTTTGCAAAGCAGTAAAGGCCACCACAAGTGCACAACTCGTCATAGCTCGACATTCATACTAAATTTGGATAGTCCAGTCTAGGTCATATATCATGTTTAAGATGTTTGGTTTGTGTTATGTGATATATTATTCATGTATGAAATGTATAAGTATATTATTAGAAAGTGGACTTTAAGCCTAACTCAACCCCACAAAACCGGCTTGTAAGGTGAGGTTTGCACCTCACTTATATATTATAATTTGGCCTTATCTCTAGTCGATGTGGAACTTCCAACACACTCCCTTCATGTCGAGGTATAGACATCTCGTGCGTGATAGTAGAAATTGGGTGGTCCGATAACGACCCGATAGCGAGTGGAATATAAATACCCAAGAAACAAGAAATATCGCTAGGATAGGCTCTAACCATGACTCTGATACCATATTAGAAGGTGAGTTTTTAAGCCTAACTCATCCCCACAAAACCAGCTTGTAAGGTGAGGTTTTCACCTCACTTATATATTATAATTTGGCCTTATCTCTAGTCGGTGTGCGACTTCCAACACACCCCCTTCACGCAGAGGTATAGACATCTCGTTCGTGATAGTAGAAATTGGGTGGTCCGATAACGGCCCGATAGCGGGTGGAATAGAAGAATAGAATGCCCACTTAGAACTCGCTAGGATAAACTCTAACCATGACTCTGATACCATATTAGAAAGTGGATTTTTAAGCCTAACTCAACCCCACAAAACCGGCTTGTAAGGTGAGGTTTGCACTTCATAATGGGTGGACTGAAAGCGACAAAACTGTAGGGAGTGCCATCTTTGACTAATTGGGGCTTGTAGTGGCTGAAAGTAGGGACTGTCATCTCTAACTAATTGGGGCCTCTGACTAGTGGCAGGAAACATATTGCAATGGTTGAAAACATACTCCCCTCACGACAAACGAAAAAAATGACGACGCGCCGATGACAAATCATAAAGGTGGAAGATCATAATGGTCTCCTTTGTTCATCAAAGAATCCAAAAACAGATCTGACAAGGGACTGGTGAAATTGTTTGACTAAGATTCTGAATCTTGCCAGAAATAGACTCCCCCTCATGCCATGAGGAACCTTAAATTTATGACTTTGGTGTTAATCGCTAATAGCACTGGCTAGTGACGCGATATGATTTTGACATTGGGAAGGTGACTTGTGACAAACACGCGCCGGAAGTTGATCGGAGAGAAGTCGTTCATGACGGTGCGTGTGGAGGACAATGAGGCAGCGACCACCAAGGATGGGTCATGCTCCTTGAGGGGACAAAACCCCTAACTTTGCCGGAGAAAACGTGACGACGGCTGGCACCGGCGACAACAAACACAGAGTAGGAAGAGACTCAAACAACCTGCTCGGATACCATATTAGAAAGTGGACTTTAAGCCTAACTCAACCCCACAAAATCGGCTTGTAAGGTGAGGTTTGCACCTCACTTATATATTATAATTTGGCCTTATCTCTAGTCGATGTGGAACTTCCAACACACCCCCTTCACGTCGAGGTATAGACATCTTGTGCGTGATAGTAGAAATTGGGTAGTCCGATAACGGCCCGATAGCGAGTGGAATAGAAATGCCCAAGAAACAAGAAATATCGCTAGGATAGGCTCTAACCATGGCTCTAATACCATATTAGAAGGTGAGTTTTTAAGCCTAACGCATCCCCACAAAACCGGCTTGTAAGGTGAGGTTTGCACCTCACTTATATATTATAATTTGACCTTATCTCTAGTCGGTGTAGGACTTCCAACATATATTATGAACTGTTTTGTAATACTAGCTTACCATTTTCTTTATGTTTTGTGATATGTTCTTGTGCATTACATG